CTGCTACCTAGGATTTGAACCATAGACTTAGACTATCCTCTCCCACGAAATAATGTTGGATCTTTATATCCCCAATTTATGATGTGGCTTCATTTAAAACACATTTCTCATATTGGTTAGAGTAAACATTAGAAGTGTTTTTGCGATAAGGATAAACAGCATTTGATATGAAATCATCCGAATTCTAATCAAAATCGAGGCCATTTAGTACTTGTGCTTCGCATTGAACAAGTTTCCCACAAGAAACAAATGCATTATGAGGATAAATAATATTTCTTATGACATCAAGATTTGATTCTTCTGAAATAGTTTCCTCGAATTTATTAAGAATGTCATTGCAGATTAAAGGATCATTAGAAAAATCAGCATCTATCAAAACTACACCAGCTTTTCGATCATGACTAGGTTCATTCAACATATTTTCCTCAGATTTGTAAGAAATTTCATCAGAAATATTTGAATCATTAGGAAAAACCATATCTGGTACAATAACGTGAGAAATCTGATAAATCGATTGGCTAGAAACTGTTGTTTCGCAAGAATTCTGAGTTTCATTTAACTCTGAACTGCTTTGTGACTCTACACTGTCTATTGTCATCGTTGATAAAGATAAATCATCATTATAAATACTCGACTTGGTAGAATCAGAATTACAAGACTTAATATTAGTTGCAATAAGATGAACATTAGTATTACAGACTGACTGAATATGTCCAATATCACCACATTTAAAGCACTTAGAATTACGGAATTTACATGGATTAAAAGAGTGGAACCTGCCACAGTACAAACACTGACTAAACTTGTGCCCATCTTCGTGAAATGCATTACAACTTCTCAATGAATTATCTGCATAACCTTGAGTATGCACTAGGTTGGGATGACGTAACATAGTGGAATTTTTTATATCCTTGTGAGTCATTTTACGAAATTCTCCTCCTTTACCACACTCGAAGTTTGTATACTTAACATAGTCTAACAGCAGATCCTTGAGAGTTGTATAAGAAAACGAAACAGGCTTTTCCGGTAAAGCCAGAGTTTTTAATAAGCTGTATGTTTCTTTTCCGAGGAATGTGAGGAAATGTGCTACAATATTAACATCCTCATCATCTTCCTTGGTCATAGCCCAAGTTTCGAACCTTTCAAAGTAATCCTCAAAAGCATCAAAATCTGAATGTATATCCAACAATTCCATCACAGGCTCCATTGCGACGCCAATATGATAATTAGAAGTATTTGAATTATAGTATGAACTAGGAATCCCAGAAATAACGTAATCGGATCAAGAAGTACTAGATAAGCACGAACGAATGTATTGTATTTGGAATTCGAAATCAAGCATTCAACAAGTACAAAGGAATCATTACTTCATTCAAACACCACAGAAGTCCAAATCGTCTAGTTGTATGCAAGCTGTCCATTGTATTTCATGCTTCTCCTGAGATGTGGAGGTCTTCATAATTCAGTCAACCACTAGAAGAAAGAGAAAAGGTGAGAATAAGTAGGATTGTCTAACACCGGTTCTCACTTGGGATGCGTTTGTCATCTGTCCTCCATGTACGACATTGAAGTGTAGTTCGTCGTATGACTTCCGTATAGTGTTAACAGTCTTAGGTACACTATAGTGTCGAAGACTCCACAAGGTTCTCCTATCCACACTGTCAAACGCTTCCTCACAGTGAAGGATGTTGATGTACAGTGACGAGTTCCATCGAATTAATTGTTCAACGATGATCTGACTTGGTCTGTGCACGACCGTTTCTAACGGAATACGGCTTGTTGATCTCGAAGCTGGACGTCTTCTGAATGTTTTTATCCGGTTGAGCAACACTGTTGAAATCTCTTTCTGATACTGTTAATAGTGTGATGCTGTGGTGTTGTATGAACTAATGATTGTTTTATGTTTGACTGCTGGTTGATTTCGAATTCTAAATACAATATGTTCGTTTGTGCTCACGTAGTTCTATTTGGCTTTAATCGTACTGCTTTGGGAATACAATAATCCAAATACTTCTAAATATTATAGATGCCTATGTAGCTTTCACATTTGCTCAGATCTTTCTTTGGTATCTTGATGAGATGCCCATATTTCCAGTCTTTCAGCATCTGTTCTTTCTCCCAAATCTTTCCGAACAGAACGTGAAGCATCGCTGCAGTTAGTATATTGTGAGGTCCTGCTGCTTTCCCACTCATGATTCCTCTGTTGGTTATCCTGATTTCTTCGATCGTTGGTGGAGTGAAAGTTATAGCAAGGTCTGTGAGTGCTGCATCGATGTCAGATGGATTCAATGGGCTGGCTTATTCAAGAGTTAATCGAAGTGTTCTGTCAATCTGTTTCTTTGTTCTTGAATCTCAGTGGTTGTCTTACTTTCTTCGCCCTTGATCGGTCTCTCCGGTTTACTATGTGTCCTTGTTAGTTTCTTCATCGTGTCATAAAGTTGTCTGATATTTCCTTCTGTTGCAGCTTTTTCCGCTGTCGTTGCTAGGTTTTCTACAACTTTCTGCTTGTCAGCTCTAATGCTTTTCTTCACTTGTTTGTTTGCTTTTGTGTATTCAGCTTGTGCCTTAACTTCCTCTGTTCTTATCCGACTGAAGTATGCAAGTCTCAATAGTTGGAAGTAGTAATTAGTTATGTGTTTCTTGAACCTTTTTATATTTATTATCCCCTAACTTGATTGCTCACCTTGGAATCAGTTGAATTTATTTATCTTTCTTAAAATAACATTGTTCTTTGATTTAGAAGAACCGCTTTCTTGCATTTGACACGCAGCTAGTTTATATTCCTAAAAATTTACTCATGTGTCGTCCTACAGTTTGATTGTGCGAAGTAGTCGTACTAATTATTGATTGTATCTGTTAGATAAAGTATCATTCAGGTACGCTTTGTTCATTTTTTACTTACATCTGCCCTGACAGTTCTGCTTCTATGCGCTTCTATACGCCTTTATAAATTATTGTTTTTAATTGTACTAGATTATTGACGAAATACAGTGTTGTAATGTATTTGAATTACAAAGCGCGTATCTGATGAACCCATAGTTACAGAACAACTGAAATTCCAAATATTTTGGACCCTGAAAGTATTTCTGAGAATTTCCGTCCAACCATACATTTTCATACACTAATAAGCTACATTTTAGCTGACAAATCTGACTCCTATATGGAAGTATGTCGTAGTTCATATTAATAGACTACTAGAAAAACCATCAGAAATTATGAGAGAACAAAAGTAAAAATACAAGGTGTTGATATTCAAATGAATGTAACTGGCTAACAAAAGTGAGAACGACTACGCTCATCTTAAAATGTCACAGAAATGCGTAGAAATCTCAACCAATGATTACACACCCAAACAAATTGTACAATTTCGGAGATGTCAGTCAAATTATCTCAAAATACCCGAAGTGCGACTTCGTTAAAAATTGAGATACAATACATATGTATCAGTCCCTCACACACCTGGGACATGATAAGCGCTCAATCGAAGTTACAATTCTGTCATTATTAATATGACACTGATATAAATCATTGTATGAATTTATCTGATCCTAACATGTTCAACTGCGAAGTTTTGGTTTACTATATGTCTATCTTTATATAATCTCTTATATTATTCTTTGTCTACTTTCATACTGATACGACAAAAAAGTGGAAATGTTGAATTTAAGAGAAATAAATCTAGGTTTGTGCTAATACACAAATTAGATGGTATGGCAAGTAGGCTTTATTTGAAAAATGGCCAAGAAAAAAGATCTAAACAGTTCAAATTATCACGAACTGATATAGAGATTCAAATGTTATCTGATCTCATCCTTATTCGCAGTATTTTGTAACTTTATTACCCGATATTATCATTTAGTGATTAGTCATAAACCATAAATCATCGTTTCGTATTGAAATACTCCGTTTTATACTTTGCTGCAGTTGACATTTCTCTCACTGTATTGCAGTAGCACTTCATAATTATCACAATATCTGATAACGAATAGAATCTAACTTTGAATACATAAAAATACCTGATACTTTTTTTACAAAAGTGCTCAGTTTTTCGGCACATTGTATGTTAGTGGACAAACTGAATGACGAGTTTTAAGAAACATGTTGACCAATATGTCATTGATAAATAGAAACCTTAAATGATATCAATTTGAAATATGTCTGTGTTTCTAGTTAATTTCCTAGTTAACTTGTGTAAACGAGAGAATTTTCTCAGAAGCATATTTAATACTTAGGTAAAATTATATTCTGTCTAAAGTTAACTAGACTTCACTTTAAACTGAACAATAGCTGGGACAAATACTTATTCTTTCAGTTGTTTGTAGTTTACATCAAAATTATTTTTGGGTAAAAAATTAACTGTATAATTACTAGGATAAAATGAATTTGTATATATGTATATATAAATGAAGGAAATGTTAGCAAACTACTCAATTCAGTCAAAATTTACTAAAAACAAAAGTATGAAGTATCAGTCAAACTGATTAAGAGAAGGGCTTGACAACAATGACAGGTACATTTATTTGAAGTGTTCACGGTACAATGTACATAATGATGTGTAACATTGATTAATTATTTTTTCTTTTACTGCACTAAATTTAAAAAGAATAATATTAAATCTGATCGAATGAATAATGTAGAGTAGGATAAGGCAGTTCAAACATTAGGCAGGAGAAAATGATCAATTTTTCAGTAAATGAAACAGTTCCCTTTTATTTCATTAGATTAAGATAAGGTATATTAGAAAATTATAAAGTATAGTAGAAAATATGATATAAGAAGAGATGAAGGTAGAATACTAATAATAGATAAGTGAAAGTTTCATTTATCGAAACAAAATCACAAAACTATCAAATATAATTTAATAAAACAGACTGATGAAACAAATGGATAAATCTTATTATATAAAATGATTTAATATAATTGTATACTTTATATAAGGAAATCTATGAAAAAAATTGTTTTTATTCGGTAGAAGTTTAAGATATAACCGCTACCAGATTTTATAGTTGTCTATAGGGTGAATATGAAGTAGAATAGATTGGAACAGATCTAGTACTTGATGAATCTCCTAAAGAACAAGAGAAATAATGCATAAAATAAATTGTGTCAATTATAAATAAAAGTTTCTTTTTAAGATAAATAGTTAGTAGTACGTGAATTAATTATATATAATTATGGTGTGAATAATAATTCAGAAAATTGGTTAGTATTTGTGTGATAATTAAAAGTATTTGAATTATAGTATGAACTAGGAATCCCAGAAATAAAGTAATCGGATCAAGAAGTACTAGATAAGCACGAACGAATGTATTGTATTTGGAATTCGAAATCAAGCATTCAACAAGTACAAAGGAATCATTAGTTCATTCAAACACCACAATTTGTTAAATCTTTGTTTAAAAGACTGGTCATAAAGAGTAAAATGTCATAGTTTATCATTTAAAACATAGTTTGAGTGAATCATAATTGAACTACTAGTAAATTGATTGAACGAATGTAAATTCTATTGATGATGACATAAAAAGTAAAAAATCTGATTCCAATGAGTGTTTGCTTTTAAAATGCGAAACTAGACTGTTTTTGTAATATTCAACCATTCAGAAAGCCATTAAAAATAATATAGAAATGAACATTTATTTCATCATGTTTAAGTATCTCTAAGGGGAATAGATACATAGTCTTAAAATGGTCTGAACCTAGGGATTTAAAGTCTTTGTAAAGTTACGATAACATCAAGCTATTGAAATGAAATTAGACAATTCACATTTTCAAGTTTCAATCACTTTGTAAAATAGCATTATTTCTATCTAATGTGATCTCCGAGTTACTGTGCCATTCCAGACTTGATTAAATTATCTATTTAAAAAGACATTTACTATCAATCGTTGTAGTGAGATGTCACACAATCATGCTGTTTTATTAGTATCTAATAACCTTTAAGTTACATTTTATGGATTCATTTCCTGTCATTAGGTGGATGAATACAGATAAATGAAATCAAGTCCAAATGATTCTGTCAGCACTAGCTTCTAAAGCTTTTATTAAGGAACACTATGTGTATTTTAAAGGACAAAGTTAACTTTTGTTACATACATCAACTGGAGAATTATTGAAAAACGAAGATTGACAACCATGCTTCTTTCACCCTAGTTTAGTATCTTGCTCATCTCAAGACTCGAAAGTCCTGCATATACACGGTTGTGGAATCCGAGACGAGAATCAAACAAATGTTCATCGCTACATAATTTCCAATGGTTGTACAGATGATGTTTGATAGTGATGAAGACCAACTTCAAAAGAATTTACCTTCGCCATCGAATGTCAGTCCATTTCGCCAGCAGTATCAGCATTCTGTAAAGTTCACAACTAAGCTATTCAACACTTAAATTCAACTTCCGAATGATTTTAAAAAACATCTGATCAAAGTATAATGTGGGAGCAAGCCAAGAATGACTTTTAAATATTTACGCGAAATTCAGAATACGTGAAATGAACAGTGGAAATACTTCAGTTATACCTCTCAGAAAGTGAAGACAAAATATTACTTTTTGTTATCGTATAGTGAAAGCGATATTGTTAAATGTATCAAGTGCTGAATCTCTTCCATGTAGTTTCTGCTTGGCCAACAAATTAACACAATCCGTTATTCCAGAAGCCAACCTCAACCAGATAGCGTTATAATCTTTGGATGGATTAATCAAATTTAAGATAACTTCTCTCAGATTCCCTTGAATAGGACACATTCATTCGAATGGCTAAAAAGTATATTTTAATTTAGCCGGATGTCATTTCCCGATTAAAACTCTAAACCTAAAATTCTAGTTCCATCCTGAAATACTTAACCTTAACCATCAACAATACAAAATATTTAATTGCTTATAAAGATTTGAAAAAGTGTGTGATTTATATCCATAAATAGGAATTTATACATCGTTTTTTCTGCTTTACTACCTAAGCAACCTGTAGAAGACTAATTAATTCATTATTTATGCGTAATCTGCTTAAACTTTGCGAAGATTATTGTTATTGTCTATAAACGGATTGAAAACTCACTACAACTGTTTAAATCTCATTCATTTACGATTCTATTTGAAATTAGAAATTCACAAAAACTTTTTTCTCAGAAGAGGTTTTGTGGAGATTTTAATAATTTCAATAGTTGAAATCATGAGTCAATTGAAGCTAGGCTACCATGGAAAACCTAAAAGTACTGGAAGGCCGTGTCGTCCTACTCTGGGACTCCTCAGCAGTGTGCATCCACGATCCCGCCCTCCCGCGAGATTTGAACCCAGGACCTATCAGTCTCGCGCACGAGCGCTTAGCCACTAGATTACTGAGCCGGCATCCAACAGTGTTAATGTCCAACTTTTTTCTTAATTTTTTTTTAAAAAAAACGTAATTTCATGTAATATCTCTTTAAAACTTAACATTGTTTTCATTTATTAAAAGAAAGTTATCAAATTATACTAACACTGTGATAAATTATAAATTAAAGGGAATTTATTGACAAAAACAAACAAAAATAATAATTTTTTTCTAAATTTTTAAAAGTCAAACAGAAAATAAGTAGTAAATTTAAAATTAGTATATTCAATATTATTTATTGTATGATTGTATGATTGATATTTATTTGAATAAGCTCAATTACATGTTTGCTAATATAAACAACTGTTGTAATCAATTACATTACTGTTGATTATATTTTAATTTAATAATTGAACTGATGAATCAACTAAAGCTAGACTATCATGAAAAATTTGGAAGCAAGACCGATAGGTTCTAGGTTCGAATTCCACTGGCAGGATCGTGGATACATGCTACTGAGAAGGTCCATACTAGGACGAAATGACCATTCAATGCTTTCAGGTTTACCATGGTGTTTTAGCTTTAATTGATTCATGAATTCAACTATTATTATTACTACCACAATATTCACAAAACCCGTTTCTGATTATATTTTACATTGATATTTTGGTCAAAACTAATAGTTATCTCTATATTGTGCATAACAAAAAATTCTCACAATAATTATATACTTCTTTCATTAATTATTTTAATAAAGTGATCTCCCTGTTTGTTTCATACGGTATATTTCAACTAACTTATAATAATTAATCGAGTATTATTTTAGGATTATTGTTGAAATCTTCACATAGTCATGAATATCTTTTACCTTTAATCAATTCTCTTTTATTTGTTTTGAATACATAAGTATGGTAAAAAAAAATGCAATAAACTGATGCTGTTGTGTGTGCTACTGATGTCGACAGATATAAGTAGTATGTATCATGAGTCGAAATTAAAATGCCTTGAGGCACAAAGTTAAGATCGGAGAAAAGAGAATGAGAACAGTGAATTATTGCTGTAGAAGCGAAGAAACAATGAAGTTTGAGACGATTGACTGACATTTTGCAAATGAAGTATTTACTATATTGTTCTCAGATTTTGCTAAGATGTTTTGTAATTTGAATGCATCCGATTGTCCTCACTTCTGTTCTTGTTCACTACAGTGCGAATATCTAAATACCATTTTCATTTATGAAGCTGTAACCTCATACACTTTACATCACATACACATTAAAATTCATATATAATCAGAATTCGACCGGAATTGATTTTATTTATAAAGTCCAGTAGCATGGATTATATAAGAATCAGTACAAAAACTAAATATATTTTAGATAATCTAACTAATAATCATTACCCAATTCGTTAATTAAATTATATTTATTCAATTTATTATTAAGCAGTTTAATTAACTCAATACTAATTGAATATGTACGTAATTGGATGTAAATCATATCGGTTAGTATAATTTACGGAATAATTAATTAAAAATGTGTATAATAAAAACGAATTAGATGAGAAAATTTGGACCTAGATGAATGACATATGATCATAGATTTGTCATAGAGTAATCACTTAACGGTTAATCATCTGTTTATAACATAACAATATTATATGTATTTATTTACATATAGTTAAGTTTCTAAAGCAATAATTTGTCCAAAATCTATGTCAGTATTGTTCTTAAGTTAAATAAATAAAATAAAAAACCATGCAACATATTTGTTTACAACGTAAAAATAATTTGGATTTCATATTCTTGAGAATTTGATCAATTTAAAGATGATTCGTGAATTAGTTTACAAACCACAAAATGATAGGTCACCCTAAGTATTAATGTTTTCTGATATTGTCCAGTTATAATTTCATAGTATTGGATCCTGGACATTCGTTTAATCTGGCGAACTTCTTATTATATTAGAAATAACAATAATAAGAAATCTAGTACTTAATTTAATATTATTTTTGACTTGCAGCTATTATAGCTTTTTACTTGTAATATTCAAAACGATAGATTGAAAATGAATAAAATTGTACACGGTGAAGGTTATTTAAATTTAAAAGGGCAGCACCGAAGTACCTCCTTAAAACTTATTTACTTTTCACTCCATGTGATTGCATTCATGATATATATAAGCATAAAGTATGTTTTCGAGTTTATTCGTTTTTTTTCGAAATAAATAATCACTACCATACTGCTAAATAGATTTCCTCTCAGATTGTTGTTGATTGTCATACGTATACATCTTATAGACTCAAACAGATACTACTCAGAATACCTTCTGTGAATATTATAATTAACTCTCACTGGCAAGTGAAAAGGAGAACAAAACTCAAATTCAGAGCTTATTACGAAACTCTTCCAACTATTTTTTTTATTGAACAAAATCCATAGAGATATCACCTTTTTTAAACTTGATAGCTTCACTATGAATTTGATCAAATATATTCGTTTATCACTAAAGACTTAATAAACTAGTCAAAATAACTTTTAGATTATCCGTTAAAAGCTTCAAAAAAAGTATACTAACTGTTTAAATAAAAGATTTATATTGGTTAGTCCACTTTTTTTTCCTTAACACATTTGTGAAACCACGGATCAGATCAAAAAAATTATAGTTTCCTTCTACAAGTTATAGACGATTCACTTAATGAACTAACAAAATGTTATTTTATTTATAAATACGTTTGTAAATTCTTTACTTAACAAATAATTTAAATAGTTTCAATGCTCCAAGTTTATCTAGTGCTTGTAAATTCAAACAAATGTTGATGTTTATTATGTATCCATAAACAACATATTATCCTGACATAGTATAATATTTTAGTATATTGACTTGCTTTACTTTGACAGTAACTTATGTATTGCATAACTGTGTATCTAGGGTTGAAAAATTCACTTCAAGAATTTTGTGTGAACCACATATTGAAATATTCTACATACTATGAAAAAAAAACATTCCTCTTGACAATTAAAACTTTGGACTGAGTTTTGTTATGTTTTTGAGAGAAAAATTTTTTATGTTTTGAAATAGAAAAATGATTTATATAGTGGCATTTTTAAAACGGTAGTTGTGTAGTAGGTAAGAGGTACTTAACTTTTCTTTGTAAATACATGAAAATAGGTAAGAATTTTATTTTCATTCAATTTTCATACCTATAATTATAAGAATAATGATCTTGATAAAAGCACTACTCATTTTGAAGATAATTCATTAAACTGTGATTGGTTTATTTAAATCTATGGAGCCATATAATATATTAACTCAGGTAACTGGTAAATAAAGTAATCGAACGAAGAATATTCTTTTCGATAAATTCTCATCAGGTTCTACAGTTATATATCCAAATTAATAATCCGAACAATAGCCAGGTTAAGGGCAAAATACATCGTTAAAAGCATGTGAATTTAGGATTGTGATAAGCAAAATACAATAAAATTGTTAGTGTTGATATGACTCATATAGAATGTTAACTTGAATCTGCGTATATGTTAAGTGAGATTTAAAATCCATGATCAGAATAAATATGGGTCAAATAGGGTGAGAGAGAAATAATAGTGCAATTACAATTTAATTTGGATATATAACTGTAGAACCTGATGAGAATTTATCGAAAAGAATATTCTTCGTTCAAATACTAGTCTTTTAATATGACGGGGATCTTTAAACGAATAAAGTAATCATTCAATATCAATGGACTAGTATCAATAGAATCATAAGTTATTCCAATTATTGTTGCACACTTATTTGCAAGAAAATGAAATCACTGTAAAGAAGATTTTCTCCACTAAAATATTAGTTATATTACAAGGAATCTGCAACTGAGGCTTACTCAGTGTGATATTCTACCTTATGATAGCCAAATATCAACAGATTAATATGAATAAAGTCTCTAGAATTCAGACAACAAAAGCCATGGTTCGTTGAGACGAATTAAACCCAATGATTCTGGCTAAGATGATAGTATATCTGAAATGACATGCCCCTAGTTATGCCTTCTTTAACTGGAACTCTATACTTTATTTTATCTCACTCCCATTCTTATTATTTCAAGGCTAGTTGAGTTCCAACCATTTAAGTTTTTTTGTTTAGTTTCAAACATTCATTTTCCTGGATTTTGCGGAAAGCTCAAGTTTACAGAGGATAATTTCTGTATAATCATAAATCGTCAGATAGTCAGATAGCCAGCCGCCCGACTGACTGGAATATCAAACCTAATAATAAATTAAGACTGAATTTTATTTTAACCATTCAGTGTTGTACTAATTTATTGTATATTTGAGAAGCAATTAACCGATTGTATTAACTTACTTATATAAAGTGATTATTAGATGAGTTGATAATTAACCTGAGAACTCCGTCAACTAGTCACCTGAAAGTCAACAATTCTTTTATTACTACAACTCGTATTTGTTTTCAACCTAAATTATTATCTTCTTATGCATAATTGATTTTAAATTATGGCAAAAATAGTTCAGAATCGCTAAATAGTGAAGAAAAAAATACTTACTCTGTTCAGTGTAACTGTTTGTTATATAAGTACTTTGATTATACAAATCACTTTGAGAATGTAGATTAGATGGAGTAGCCTTTACCCAGTTGACATTTTCATTTCGTTGGTATAACTGACAATTAACATTGTTCATATTATTAGTATTTACTGTATTTGATATTCGAATAGGTTGAGTAGTTACCCACCGACTTGGAGAAACATTACTCGCTGTATGACTATAGTCATATGAATTGGATTGCGGTTGATTATAGTTCTGATTGGATTTAGGATGTATAAATGTTGTTGACGTTGTTACGTGATGTATTTGTTGTGGTTTATTTCGAACATCAGTAATAAATCCTTGACTGTTTATATTTTGTCCATAGGGTTTAGTAAATGTAGTACTATAGCTAGGTGAGGTTATAATACGTAGTTCATTGACGTTTTGTCTAGGTTTAACAACTGGATTACCGGTGCTTTCACTAATACTAAGCTGTTGTTCTAAAATACGGAACGATTTTGTTTGAATCGGGCGGAATGATCGACCTCGTGTTAATGATCTTGTTGATAACTTTCTCTGACTACTACTATCCGAATCAACTGATGATTGATGACCAAAAGATGATGTAGTCATTATATGTGGAGCAATCTGTGCAACTTTACTTAAGTCTACACCTCGTCTTTAAGAAATAAGGAAAAAAAGGTTTTGGTTATAGAACAAAATAAATATGATCAAAAACAATAAATTATATATATATTCAAGAACAAGCTTACACCATGAATATTTACTCAACAACAAGTAAACCCTCACCACAGATGTCAGACTAATCAAAGCATTCATAAACTTTTGTAATGATAAAAACAATTCGTAGTTCAAATTTATTCATTTGATGGTCATGTATCCTCAAAGATTGTATACCTGACTTAAGAAAATAGAACACTACCAAACTACAATTATGTTACTTATCACGTCAAGTTTACGTAAATTGAATCAAGTACTTTTGTGATGTGTGCTACTTATACAGACAGAATTCATTAGTTTTTTCTCGAAAATCAGAAGTACAATTCTTACTGACAGAAGAGGAGCATGAGTAGAAAAAGAAAAAAGAAAAACAGAAGCAGTCCAAGTGGCAGTAGGATTCAGAGAACGACAGTGCTTTTAACAGACAAGTCACGGGAGATTTGCATAAGGTGTATTCAAATAGTGTATCGTTTTCATATTTTACAAATACAATGTGTAATTGAGCCTAATACAATAGAATGGTTTACCGTACCCAACATTTCGTTCATTAGGCCTTTACTTATATTAATGCTATCAATTATCACCATAGACAACTGTTAATCCCTTAACTTTCAAGTTAAGGAAAACTGATAGGTTAACAGGTGTAGGTGTTCGCCTAATATTTTATATTTCCAATGAAAATTCATACATCATTTGGTAAAATACAAAAAATACACTTGAATAGAATTTCAGAATAAAACATTTCAATACAGATTTTCCAGTAATTGTGGAATAAAACTTCTTGCATTATGAAAAACGGGGACAAACATCTGGTCATTGAGATAGTTGTATATACTGTGAACGAATATATGCAAATAACTTTAAAAATCCTATTTTATAGTTCAGTATTATAAAATGTAATACAATGTTATTATCTCAAATTTTATTTTGTCGAACATGTCAACAAGATTATTAGAAGTTGAGAAAATAAATTTAATTAAACAATAAATTAGAAGATTGTACACATGACCACTTGGCTTTAACAATTGAAAACTGAAATTTTAGTTAGTTGATTAGTGATGCTCATTAGAAAATTACAGAACTGACTTTTACTAACCGACAATTGTCACCAAGACGTATATGGAAACGTGCTTCATGTATGACTGAAAATCGAATTATTTAGCCTCACAACAGAAGACATTACCAAGGCTTCCTGGTGATTACCTCCAACTTCCTAACATTATATAAGTTGAAGCAAGTTATTAAGTCAATGAGACTAGTGCTTACAGACAAAAGAGATATTTATAATTAGACTACCACTAAATAAAACATTATATGATATCGGTCACTAATATACAGTCAATTAGAGGAATGTGAGTAGATTTCAGAATATACTTTTCAATTACGAGCTATTTTTTACTCTGCCTGTATCTGGAAGTAAATGTTTTTCAGTCAAGCTGTAACATAAAATTTAATACTGATCGCAGTTTCTCCCAAATAGATTGTATGCACAGGAAGTTGTATTTTACATTGTAAAACAGATAAATGAAGAATGAAACCGATTAACGATTGCCATCTCCTTGAATGAAGTTCTTTAAACAACATAAAATTGTAAGTCAACTTGCAAGTAAAATCACATTAGTACTAATACCTGCATACCTGATTAATATAAGATCTAATTCATTGCCAGCCCGTAAAATCTCCGCCTTGACTTGTTCGTACGTCTTGCCAACTGTTAAGGAATTACAAATGCTTACTATAACGTCACCAACCTCTAAGCCCGCTTGATTGGCTAATCCATTTGAGGTCACCTGAAAATAAGAATAATGATTAATACATTATTTGATTTGATACTACGTGTAAGGACTTCAATGCACAAACAGTTCAGTGAATACAAGTGTTAAGCACATTCAGATGTTTCATATATTTTAATTTGAGAAATCATTTGCTTGACAGTAAAGTAGTTGATATCACTTTAAGAGGTTCCTTTACGTCGATGTTAAGGGCAACCTACCACATTCCAGGTCAAGGGAACAAACCGCTAGTCACTTGTTGATAAGTACATCTAGCACATTTATATCTGAAGTTTGTGCTGATGATGCTATTTAAAAAACACAAAATCTTAGTGATTAAGTCATCCAGCTTAGAGAACTAAGTTTCAAAATAATATCCAACCCTTAATTAAGAAACATTGGGAATCTTAAAATGAATCAAGAATCTTGGATAACACTAATACTAATCTTAATGCATGAAGACATTAAAAACTTAATGATTAACTAACTTTTAAATTCTTCTTCTAAGTGTTGCTAAGATTTAGTGATCTAAGTTATTGTAAGATGTAAGCTTTGATCCGATTAGTGAAACTATTCCAAAATATCAGTCTTAATGGATTACCTGCCTTTTTATGTATTTATTACCAAGACCATATAAAGCGTTATCTGCTGACGTTACGACTAGTCAAATGTGGCGGAACTTTGTGGAGCACGTTTCCGTATCATTTTTCCTTATAGATGTTACTGAGTTCATATACCTTCGTTACTTATGACGTTTTCAAACCTGATAATCAATGTCAACTTATAACTGTCATTTCTTATAACCCTGTAGAAATAACTAAGCATTGTTAACTAAAAGAAAGCTGAGTTTTCGTCCACTCCGTGTGCTTGAACTATTTATATTTAACTGGTGCAAGGATAATCAATAGAATTGATGCTCCTTAGCAGTGCACACCCACGACTCCACCAGAGGTCGAATTCAGAACTTTCCAGTTTAACAGAGTACTCTTTACGATTAGTACGTCAGTACAGTTCTAACTTCAGTCAATTTGCAGTACAGTGTGACAATAATTTGATACCACTGGGAGACAACTGTTTCCTTCCTGACAAACTTGATCTCTACCAATCGTGACTCCTTACTCAAACCTTAAGTTTATCTTGAAGTAAAATGGCTAGTGTGTTATTACAGTTTAACTGAAGAAGTTTAGTGAACACTGATTTAATTCAGAGTCTGTAATCATCACAAGTTTATACGAACTGTTGACGAGTTCTATACCAGGACAAAATAGCTATTCAGTACTCCATGAATTTTTATAGGACCTCAAACGAAATCGATCTATGATGGATACGACTTACAAATTAAACCAGAGTTTATAACATCACTTCAACAAAATGATTAGAAATCTTTATTTTTTGTATCTGATTCTCATAATACAAAAATACTTTCCACACTTTTAAAATAGGTTACAAAATATTACAAATTAAATATTATTTATTCTCAGAAGGGAGTTTTGTAATTTTCTAGTTGAATTCATGAGCCAGTTGAAGCTAGACCGTCATGGAAAGCTTGGAAGCACTGGATGACCGTTTCATTAACATATCTTTCACTTAATACAGAAATTCAATGGGAAGAAAAATCTACCGTTAAGTTCATCTGTGTGTTAAGGCTTATTAAATGTAAAACAATTAGTCCCTTTGATAAATTTCGATAATGATATTAGAAGACGAAGATTATCAGACTAAGTGATTTATTAACGCAATACATTTCGAACAATCTGGTCACACATTTAAGTGTTAAGAGCATTTATATATAAAAATAAAAGGTCAACTAGACAGGAAACGGGTAAGAGGAGATAAGTATAAGGATAAGAGTAATAATAATAATGTGAACACAATTTGAAACCTAATCACTCTGGATAATAAGTCAATATTACCAGGATAGGTTTAAGGTAAGAACAAACTGTTTTTGAACACACAAAGGGGGTTTGAATTTTCGTATGGCTAAGGCTTCAATAAACCTTAGTATACGCCCCTTTACACTTTTATACAACACTACGAAAGCTGAATTTAGATCAATCTTGTGACCTGTTTCAATTATATGTTTAGCAATAGAGGATGATGGATGTTTATCCTCTGCTCTTATTGGGTCACTTGATTGTATTTGTTTCTGAAGCCATTTGGGTACATGTTCACTCACCCTAATGTTGAGATCACGATTACTCCTCCCTATGTATGTGTGACCACACACACATTTAAATTGGTAAACACAGTGGGATGTGACGCAATCGTTTCCATGTACTTTAGGTTTTGAATGAAGCATGCACCTTGTTCTTTCTTTGATGATGACCTTTGCTGCGCAATACGTCTTATTGATGACTGATTCAAGTCGCTGTTTCAATAAAGGGCTATTCGAATCACCTCTGAACAGTAAGGTGATTTAGACAGGCTTTTTCTCTACTGAAGCTACAGTAGGTCTCGCTGTATCATGGACTTTCCATCTATTTATGAATTTCAGAGGACAGCCATTTTCTATTAACGTTTTGTTTAACAACTTAACATCATCATAACATATAATTGAAACAGGTCACAAGATTGATCTAAATTCAGCTTTCGTAGTGTTGTATAAAAGTGTAAAAGGGCTTATTAAATGACCAAAGAAATGTTGAACTTTATCAGTAGCATGAAACATAAACAACCAAATGTTGAAACCAATCAACCATAGAAAAAACAATTTTACAATATACATAATATTCAAGTTCTTTTCTAAGTAAAATATATGACAACACTTTTAATGACATATTTGTTATATATTTATTATAACTAGGTCATAAGTTATGGTAAGTGGAACTATAAGAACCTATTTATAAACAGTTGAATTATTTCCTACTTTCGTCCTTCAAAGTTAAATATTCTCTGCACTTTTATAAATTCATTGATCATTTGTCAACAATGATTTATATGAATGCCTATTTCTTGCTTCACCTTCTTTTCACTCTCTATTAGTTTTTAATCTTTTTTCTTTTCAAACACCTGATAGTCATCATTCATTTAATTTTAATGTCATTATTACATAATTCACAAATGGTTAACATTTGATTTTCTTTTCTTTTTATAGGAAAAGAGGATAAAAATGTTTAACAGCATTCTTTCAGAAGACATTAGAAAAGGGATATTTTCTTGAATAAGTTATTTATTTTGACATAAATTATAAATGGAAACTTACAATGTTAAGAGCTTGAAATACCTTATACTTATGTCAGTAAAATAGATGCATAAACTAAGGATTTTTCTTTCGCGTTAACAACTGTATAAAGGTTCATATATGAATGCTATACTGAAGTTAATGTACGTTCATTGTATTACAAGAAGATTGATTGTTGACGTTTAATGAAATTTTTCAGTTACTTAAACTAGAAAAGTTAACTTATCTAAAAAACATTCGTAATATGGATCTATGTCATCTGAAAAACTACTGAATACTAAGGTATCTGTTTCATTTGAGTTTAAAACTATTTAATATGTTCATTGATGGGCACAAAATCATTGTTTACTTACATACTTACGCCTGTTACTCCCAGTGGAGCATAGGTCGCTGAACAGCATTCTCAAGCATACTCTGTCCTGGGCCATTCTTCCAAGTCCTATCCTATTTTTGTTCATTTTTCCCATGTCTGTCTCCATTTCTCGACGTAATGTATTCTCAGTCTTCCACTTCACCCACATTGGCCTTGAGAATTCCATGTGAGGTTTTGGCTTATGACGCAGTTGGATGCTTTCCTCAATGTGTGTACTATCCACTTCCAGTGCTTCTTCCTGATTTCTTCCCCTCTGGAATATGGTTTGTTCTCTCCCATGGTAGGTTGTTGCTCATAGTGTCCGGTCAACGGGTCCGAAGTATTTTGTGTAGACAACTGTTAATAAACACCTGTATCTTCTGGATGATAGCTTTCGTAGTTCTCCATGTTTCCGCCACATACAGTAGAACCGTTTTGACATTTGCATTGAAAATTGTGACTTTGGTGTTGGTTGACAGTTGTTTTGAGTTCCAGATATTCTTCAGTTGTAGGTATGCTGCTCTTGCTTTGCCGATCCGCGCCTTCACATCTGCATCAGATCCACCGTGTTCATGAATGATGCTGTCCAGATATGTAAAGGTTTTTACGTCTTACAGAGCTTCCCCGTCAAGTGTGATTGGATTGTTGCATGCTGTGTTGTATTTGGAATCTTACTTTTCCTTTTGTGTATATTGAGACCTAGTGCTGCTGAGGCTGCTACTACAGTGGTCGTGTTCTTCTGAATTCGTTGTTTCGTGTGCGATAGAAGATCCAGATCATCTGCGGAGTCTAGATCGTCCAGCTGGATTCTAGCTGTTCACTGTGTCCTATGCCTTCCCTCAGATGTTGACGTGTTTATGATCCAGTCGATCACCAGGAGAAAGAGAAAAGGCGAGAGTACAAAATCATTGTACTTGATTAATAAAAGTCACCAAATCATTGGATATGTTTTATTGATCGCTTTTGGTCTCTTAGAATATATTATTAACAAGTTTCCCCGGTTTATCAGTACAATCAATCTAATTAACTCGACTCATTAGTTCATCCATTTGACTTTGAGTCATATATTCTGTGTGAGTGCTAGCATTACTACTGGACTTCAGGCGCAACACTTGAAATTCCTCAATTTTATTTCATATATGATCAGAAGTGCATACTACTGAAGAGTTTAAAATTGGGATGAATTATATATCAAGTCCTTTGTGGTTTTCAATAAATCTCTAATTGATTTATAAGGTCTTCTGATTAAAAATTCTTCATTTAGAAATGTAATTATTACTGAAGTTCTACAAATCGTGCTATACTGTGCTATCATTTTATTTATCATAACCACTACTTACGTTTCTTTTAATAAAATAATGTTTGGCAAACTCTTAACTTGAATATGAGTACTAAAAGATTATGAGATATATTGTGGTGCGTGCTACTTATATTGATGTAAGTAGTATATGACGCGAGTCAGGAACGTAGTGCCTGGCAGCAGAAGATGGAGGAAGATCGAAGAAAGAAGAGCGAGAACACAATGCAATTTGTAAGAAAACGCACGGACAATGAAAAGTGAGACAATGGATTGATTATTAAAACAGCAACAGTCCAGTTTGATATGATGGAATGATATTTTGCAAAGTAACGATTTGCTATATTGTTTTTCTACTTTAACAAGTAGCTCTGTAAATTACTACTAAATGCATTTGGTTGTCCCCCAAATGAATTTATTCTGAATACATACATTCAACCTTGTCAATGTGATTGAATACCATCTGACAAAAAATGTTTTCGAGTAAATCTTGTGATGTTTTTCTACATATCAGTCATATGATTAGTAAATTAATTCAATAAAAGGTCATTTCGTATTATAGACATTAAGTAAAATATCAAATATGAAAACCACAAAATATTATACCCAAAAGAGTTGTTGATTGTAATGTCAGAAAGAATGTATTTATTAGATGGTACTACAATAAAGTATCCGACGTTAGTCTCAGTACATCCAATGCTCATTTAGTATTGTCATATACAGCGATTTAGGTCATATTTTGTTCATTTAGTGGATAAATATTACGTACTAAAGTGTAAAGTTAAATAAAGATTCTATTTTAAGCCACATCTTCACTATATTTGTGTTTATCATCTGGCATGTTCTAGTTTGTCTATATCGAACATATTCATAGTAAATAGTTGCAAACAATTTCATATAGTTCAAATGAAATTCCTAATGAAATTTCATTCTAATCTATGCAACATTTGTTTACCAAATAAATGGAAATATGAATGAAAGTATTATGTACAATACATACAGCGAACACTGGAAATGTTGTGAATAATCTCAGCCCTCTTTTACTAGTTAAAGCAATAAAATATTGTGAAAATTCCCATTTTGCCATTTGGTAAATAAAGAAGGAATGAATTGAGCGAAGAAATTGATTGATTTAATTAATACAACTTAATCAAATCTTACAGATATATCTGGTAAAAAAAATCGTTTAGTTCATTATATAACATTCTATTAACATTTAGCTAGACGATCGTTTGTAATTAATGCAATTTATATGACATAATACAGTAGTTATTTCTTATTGACTTTCAATGAACTAATTAGTATCAGTCAAAGTTGTTAAAGTTCTTTATTTCCTCTCCTTCTTTGAATAGAATTTATTCCATTTCTTCAACTACCTCATATTTACGATGGAAAATATATTAGAAAAAGTGTAAGAAATCTGATCACTAGTAATTAGTTTTAAACGGTATTTCTTAGTGTCCTTAACATGGAGTCATGATTTTCAGATTTACTCAAGTAGACATTGTGATAATAAATCACTGATAGCAGTTAAGAAATAACAGAAGTGTGAAAAGTTTCTGGAGTCAAAAAGGTAAATCAATAAATTATGAATCAAAGTGAATTCGATCACCAGTGAAATTGTAACTATGTATTAATCTTAGTTAATAATGTAAGTTACCTTTAGTGTGTCAAAATATTTTCCAGAAAGTTAACTTCACTAAATTTTATTGATGTTACCAGTAATTGCTTTCAGTAGGTTAGTATTTTAGGAATTTTAATCAATATCATAAATTTGAATGTCGCTCTCTGATAATTACATAGTAATTTTGGTGGGGTTTCGTTCTCTGAGCTGCATGTTTTGGTCTTGGAGCGTTCATCGTTCTTCTGAATGACGATATCGACAAAAACGTCAGGTAGAAGTGAAGTTACAGACAATCTTTTGCAAAAACAACATACTTTAAAAAGTGGAACCATATTTAATCACTTACACCATTCTTCATAAACTATCGGAAAAGTAACACATCAAATTACTATTCAATGTCGTGCTCAATTGGATGTAGGTTAAAACGGTATAATTTGATGCTATATCAATTTTAATCTTGTTTAAAACATACAGGCCATTTCAAGAAGATTATGTAAATCTCCTTGTAAATTAGTTTCGTGGATTTCTTATAGAGATGATGTTTCTTTCCATTTACTATAGAGTTTTTCTTTTAAATACTAATTTATCATATACAGTCATGATGTGTACAAAATGTTTCGATAAACTGAGCTTATAGTTGTGCGATTCATTCATTTATTTCTGAATTTTATCAAACATATCTGGATAATTCACATAGTGCTAACTTAGGTTATGGTATAAATAGCTTAGCTCCCAAGTACACATCAAGTGTGCTTACTAGTCGTTCACTAGCCGTTATCTTTATTCCTGAATCTTACACACAGGTTCCTCTATACATTAGCTCATTCGCAACAAAGTATCTCAAAGTTAAATATAAATTAACAACATAGTGACATCAAACAATTGTTTTTAATCAGATGAACACTTTCTAATGCATTTATATAATGTAAGACCAAATCACGATGAAGAAAATGAAAAATGTGAATATAACACCATATAAACGTTTGTAAGCTCGTTAAGTTTTAAAATACATTGTTAAATAAAGATAGAGTAGAAAATTTACCACACATCTGCATTGACATTTTCCGATTGATACTTTCAATCAATCAGGGTGACAAATTACAATCCGCCAATTTTTGAAACCACAAAGTGATATTAAAGAATGTCTTGAATAAATTTTAATAAAACAAACTCAGTTTAGTTTTAAAATGATGTAACTGATTATCACAATTACAACAGTTTAAAAAAGTCAAACGACTGACTGGTTCATTTAGAAATGCATAAATGTTTGAATATAAAAAGTTACTTAAATTATAACACTACAATCAGTTGATAAATTTTAAAATAAGCAATAGAGAAGTGCAAACTTTTACAAATACTTCCTTGATGTTTTAAAAGATTACGTTTATAAATAAAGATAGGTAAGTATGTATCAATATAGGAGTGTGGAGATTGTCAAGTTTAAATTGATATCGTGAATGAATCAATGCTAGACCACCATTTAAAACCTGGGAGCATTGTTCAGCCGTTTCGTCCTAGTATGGGACTCCTCAGCAGTGCACACACATGGTCCTGCATGTGAACTCGAGTTAAGGGCCCTCGGTCTCGCGCGCGAACGGTAAACCTCAAGACCATCCAACAATGTTAATGTCTAACTCCAAACAATCTATGATATTGCGCGACCGTCCACCAATGTCTTCATTGTGTAACTGACTCACAACAGACACGGTGAATATTTGATAAAAGTATGTTCATTATAATATCAAAATAAAAACACAATACTTAAAAAAATCTTTAGATAAATGTATATACATTTCATTATTGATGATTTTAGTGGGACCATTTGAAGTAGCCCTACAGACCGGAAAATTAATTGTAATTTTATGAAAGTATTCATTACTGAAATGACAAACAAAATTCGTAACTCAGATAGATGTTTTTGATAGTGTTGAATTCTGTGAGCAAAATAGTTTAATTTTAAAGCTTTCATTATCATTCTGAATATCTTTACCACTTATTTCTATATGAAGTTGTTGATGTAGTTGATGATGTTCAGAATGACAATGGAAGCTCTGTAAAAATAAACCACCTTACTTAAAAACCTCAACACCACCAATAGCCATCACCAACAGAGTCATTAGTAAAAGAAGATTATGAAAAGTAATTGATGATTACTTTGTTGTACACAAATTTACTTATTGAGTAATACTTCAACAATCAATGATTGTTACTAGCACAATAGTAAAACTTAAATAAAACAATTGAGTGACTTTATCAGTCCGTAAAAAAAAAATTTTTTGCAGTTTTTCATGCTAAATAATTAGTAAACGTATATTTCAAGTTAAAAAGTTATAGGAATTAATGGAGAAAACAACAAGAAATAGACGAAACAAAGCTATTTAACCTTTAACCTTCGATCATGATGGGATAACTTTAGTTGTCATACTTACATTCATTATGTAAATTAATCATTTCGGTCTGGACAAAGTCAATGAAATTAAAATGTTAGCTCGATAATAACTGATAATCACTCGATAGCGCCTATCACATTTAATGCTAAGTTTCAGTAACTTGCTTATCCGAAGTCTAAATGAGTTCATTTAGGAGACATAAAAACAACCTTATTATATATATCAATATGTTGTATCAAGTGAAATTCATCTCAGAACTTTCTGTCATACAGAGAATGGATTTTTATATTTTATCTACCATACAATTTTGTTATTTGTCATTATTATATCAACAAAATTTACTGAAATGTAAATCGTTATTCATTTCAAATGAGCAGATAAGTGTTAGTGGATACTTTACTATACCTCGAGCGTTATTGAAAAGTATTCATCCAACTACTTAATAACTAACTGAAAAACTGTTTGGTTCTTATTTCTGTGATTCAGGCATAACTTATGATCTTTAGGTCAAGCAACCATGATTAAACCTGGGATATAACATCACATTTCAATGTTATTAATATAGTGGAGTGCATTTTAAGTGTTATGAAGTGTTGAAGATATTTATAGTGTTAGTTCTTATCCTGTATTGATATATCGATGCATTTTCTGCGGGAGGTTTCTTTCTATACCATTAGTCATCATTACCAATTAACTGTCTTCATAAAAATCTGTAATCGTAGTACTTGTAAAAATAATGTATTTACTTATCTTTTTCATAGAATTGTAGCTTATTTCTGACAGGTTATCAAGGTAAAAAAAATCCTTCTTAAAATTAGTATATGTTTAAATTGAATCATGCAGCTTATCTGGAATTTAGATTGAAAGATAAATGTTTTACTGAATAAATGTACCCAAAAACAAAGTGAATTATAATTTATAAGATAGAATTATTAACTTTACTTTGTTTACAAACGGTGGACATCCATATTCTGCTCCACCATAAAATGAAAAGCCCCAATGGCGTTCACTGTTTGGACGTCTTAAGAATATTGTAAACGATGGTCCACTTTGTTCTGATATTACTTGTGATCCAATATGAATTGCAGTTCTTGTTGGACTCGTGGGTTCTTCTCTTGGTGAATATGTTCTACGAACAGGATAATGCATAACTGATTTAGAATTATGAGGAGTTGATTGATTGTGATTAGACAGAGTTACTGAACTTTGATATATTGGTCTAATTGAACGAGATCTAGAATTTGTCGAGTTTTGAGATGATGTTTGTACAACTGTCAGTGTCGGAGAAATAGATGAAATTGGTAATGTTCTATCTGCATGATCAACTATTGCTTCATTATAGAAAGTCGGTACGTGACAATGTTTAGACTGTTCAGAATATTTAACATTAGCCTGCGGCTCTTCGTTTAATTTCAAAGTTTGTACGTGTTCTTGAACAAAATTAACTATATCATTAGTTTTAGAGTTCATAGCCGGAACTTCATTATAAATCAAACGACTTTGTGAATTCGAATCTTCTGATCTATACGTGATGTTTTCTGATAATCGTCCTTCATACTGAAATTCATCATTTTTCGTTTGTGTCTGTGTTTCAATAAATTTGTCATTCTCTGGTTCTGGTTCAAATTCATATTGAACAGAACTTTCTCGATCATCGACTCTCATTGTCACTTTATTCTCTTCGTCAATTACCTCTTCCACTTGTATCTCTTCGTCAATTACCTCTTCATCTTTCATATAACTATCATCACCTGAATGATCAAACGTTTGATCAATCGATTCAGGTGTCAGTGGTCTATTACTCGTTGGGTATGGATTAGATTGTTTTAGATTAGTATCAACATTTTTCTCACGAATAATTTCTTTCATTTTCATTTCCTGTAAAATATCTTTCATTTTCTCTTGAAAAACTTGTTTATCATTCTTTATGTTGCTTGACTCTCTTGCATAATCATGGTGCACATAATCCTCTACCACTTCTCCTTCTTCTTCGTCAACAGTTTGTGCATCTTCATCTATATCATGTTCGATAAACGGTGATGATTGCCGATTTTTTTCCATTTGTGTATTATCGACAATATAATCTTCAACTGAATCTATTCGGTCTCCTTCAAAAGTTGTGGTAAGTGTCGTAGTGCCTTGGAAATGTTCTGTAATTCCGTCCATATCCTTTAGATCACTCATTTTGCCATTTGTTAAACATAAATGTGATTGAAGACTTTTATGAAATTTTTCTGGAAATAGAAGTATTCGAGCGAATGTGCATAATGCTTCAAAAGTGGAAATTTTTAATAAGTTCACACTTTACAGAATCAGGTAGACTCAATACCTGAAATTCGACAATGTATTAAGCAATGTCATTTTTATCCTATTTTTAGGAGAAAGTTTACAAACTGATGCACAATGACACACTTCAGTATACACGAGAACAATTGTATGTACACAATCTGTGAGATGTTTTATTGATACGATTTAAAATGAACTAGTTGTTAACCTTGTTTATAATTAGTACAGTAATTGTTGTTAAATACTACCAAATATGAATGAAACCCAAGTCACTGTAGAAACAGTCAGAACTTAACATGTAATAACAATGTGTTCATTTCATTAACTGAATAATATCAATCACTTAATATACGTATATTGAACTATCAACAGCTCTCTCTAATATATACTTATGCACAAATGTTGAATTTTTAATCCTCTTTTCCTTTTACCACTTTTAACTTATTTACCAGTTAGTGGATCTCACCAATAGGAAGTTAAATCTTAACCAATTATATTATCAATATAGGATAGAAATGAAGCCAGATTTTACCAATCACCTGATTGTGGCCTACGAATTATGATCAATAGACTCAAGGTCGTTGTAAATTTATTATGATGTGCTTCTATTTTTTATTGATAGTTACAACCACGAAAAATGTGATAAAACATGACGAAAGGGAAATTACAAAACAATGTGTTTCAAAGAAGTCAACACAATCCAGCATCCATATGTATAATAAATATAAACTTGTAAAGAGAAATATAACAATAAATGTAGTATTAATGAAATTCGTTGATTATGAATTAAACCATATTGGTAGTGAGTAAATTATAAGCTCATTTCATCAGTCATTATATATTGCTTTAGCAGATTTCGATAGATTCCAGTGTTTTTTTTTATGAACTCATACTTAGAAGGTAGTTTTTAGATTATTCATGTTACCAAACATGTTTTCAATCGACAATAATAGATGTGTATCTTTGGCTTTTATCGAATTGTTGGAGTGCATTTATTTTCGGAACCATTTAGGTATTTTCTAAAGTATCCTGCAGTATATATCATGACATTAGTCTTTTCCGTTTGTGTTACTTCTTAGATATGTAAGATTGGTATAAACTACGGAGTATCACGCAGACGTTTACATGTGTTTCAGGCTTGTGTTGATGCATGAGTTTTTAAATTATGCAGATCTTGGGTGCATAGTAAATTCTATTGATTATAGATATGACTTCATTTTCAACTTAATCTTTGTTTGATAAGACAACTTTGAAAATTTAGTAGCTCTTAAAGTTTTACAATCTTTCCATTGACCTACGAGTATGAATTTTTAGTCTATTTCATTTAAACCCTTGGCTACTGTTGCCATAAGATATTTTATGAATATTCATTCGATTCTATTTATTAGATTCTTTATGAAACCTTGTTCCTATTAGACAGGACATAACTGAAGAAATATCCGATACTGTACTGTTCAAGTTGACTTTTCCACGTATAAAATGTTTGATCGACCTTTCAGTCCATGTATTCAATAAACGTAGTTAGATTTTCCGGTATATAAAGCATGAATAACAAATATGATCTTATGTTGTGCCCAGTTCGTTTGACAGACACACTGCATCTTCAGTAATGCTATATGTCACATCATGACATAATCAGCATATTGTGGATAAATTCAAAGTGTTCGGAATAAATCACGTAATAAGTGTTTGAACGTACAAAATAAAAGCGTTGACTTGCAAGGGTCTCAAAAAGAATTTACAACAACAAATCATTGTATTAAAAGTGCTTACATTCAAATATGAAATGGAGTTCACAACAATATTTAATAACTTTAAGGAAGATTAATAAAGAAAACAATTTTTCATAAACATATACTGACACAAGACATCAGTAGTACATTTCATATAAGCAATTTGTACTCATTTTGGTAATTGTAATTTTTAAATATTACAGGTTGCAAGCAGCTAACAAGAACTAAACGAGTCAATAATGAATTCATGTTTTTCTGCTCATATCTTTGTTCTTACTCTCTTCAAGATGATGAGTAAGGAATTATACTTATGAAATAACCACATTCACCAACGATAAAAAAAGAAAAAGAAAACAAGTTTTGCAACAGATTTCTTCACATTTTTTTCTGCTGCACAACCATTGACAGTAAGTCGGATTTTTACTACTTTTAAGTGTATTTTACGGAAAACCCGATGACATTTAAATTGTCACTTTGTGTTTTCTATATACATATATATATTAAGGAGTAACTCATTTCTACTAGAAAGGATACTAATAATTCTAATAGATCAGTGTTTATTTACGTGATGATATTACTTTGAAGTCATTTTTTAGTGTTTTTTTTAATGTACACACTGTTTATGTCTCATACACTGCTATCTTCACATGTATCTGTGTGTCCTTTTTTCTTCTATATTACTCTTTGTCTGTTTTCATAAATAAACTGATGAATACCTAACTAAGTATCTCTTGACTAGTAGTAGATAACGGCCATGATAATTTCTTCTTTTCATTCTGACCATCTATCTGATTAATCATATGCATACATATCCATAACACTACTTTTATTCGACTTTTTATTTAAACGTTATCACAACGTGATAATTCATAAAACTATTCACGAAGTTAGCAATGATATGGATTTTTTCGTTCGTCATCACCCTATTATAGAGTCAGATAGAGCCAATAGAAATGTATTCATTATTAATAGTAATTCATTAACAGCACATAATAAATGCACAGAATGGAACCATATCTAAAACATGGGGAATGTTAGGGAATTCATTGATTTCTTTCACTAACAAGAATTATTTTTGGATTATTTTTCATTTATACATTGTCATGAAAATTATTCATTTAAATTAAAATGTACTTGATAAGTAAATTGAAAGCAAGTACATATTACATAATTATTCAATAGTAATCCGTTAATTGAAAATGGAGTAATAATGAATTAGATCTTTTTCTAGGTAATAAAATAACAAAACTTCTGTGTATCTATTCGATAATGTCTAAATTCTGTAAATAGAAGGAATACACTCTTTCACTGCTTTGTCAAAATTATGTCTACTTATTATGTGATGTATGTTATTTATGTTGACAGAGATAAGTAGTGTGTAGCACCAATTGGAGGTGGGATGCAAGTCAAAAGAAGGTTGAGAAGACTGAATTGAAGCAAACTGAGAGGGAAACAGAAAGGAATTGGGAGAATTATAAAGGATACAAAGGATAACTGGTGGAAGATATGCAAATACAGTATTTAATTTATGTAAGAACTTTTATCTAAATTTGATCGAATAGATTCACAGTATTTGGGCATCGAGTTGATGTGACATTAAAGAGAAAGTATGTATATGTAAAACCTCAGCGAATGAATTTGCCAGGCAAAACGTTAGATTTACTTCAAATCCATTCGCAGAGATGTTACAAATACATTCTTCCTTCTTAATATTTAATGTATGTTTTTCATTGTTTATGAACATTTTGTAATTCTGCACTATATAATCAAAGTATCTTCTCTGCCCAAGTTCTCGTTTACTGCAAGTATATTGTTGTATTTACAAATATTAATGTTCACACATACACAAGATAGTTTTATACTTATTACTGTCTACAATAGCATTTCTCTAATATTTCTTCTAGATGAATATCCTGGCGTTCTAGTGAGAAGCAGTGACCAGTGGAGTTCAACCGGGTGAGATGTGGGATGGGAACTCACTGATGACAATGGTGGATGTGTCGCTCAATTTCGTGGATTAGTTGAAGTTAGACATTAATAACGGTGGGTACCTGCTCAGTGGTGTTGTGGTTAAGTGCTCGCGCGCGGGGTCGTGGACGGGCACTACTGAGTAGGCCCACAGTAGGACGAAACGGCCGTCCAGTGCTTTCAGATTTTCCATGGTGGTCTAGCTTCAAAGGACTCATGATCTCAACTATTTAAATAAATATTTCTTCACTATTTTAATGATGAGACAAAAATTATCATTTTCAATTAGCTAATTTCATTTATCTTAGAAACATTGGCATTAAGTTGCACACACTCGTAAACGTTAATTAATTGTTACCGATATCATTTACTCTATATGAGGTCATATATCAACCCATATATCGTGGCATAGAAATTATCTATAAAATAATGAATAGAATTTGTATCTTAGATCATTTCTTTAAGTTGTTTTACATTGAATATGAAAAGGCACATACAAATAATAAAATCTATCAGGAAAAACAATGACAAACAAATTTGATTGGTTAGATTCATTTGAAATATATTTGTTGTTGAAAAACCCATATATGAAAGAAGTGAAAATGAAGTTGTTCAGGACAATAATAATTAATCATCTACTACATAGAATATAATACGATTGACAGATATATCTTCTTTGAATTTTTCAAGTTATTAAATCAAAAATCAAAATAACTCATAGTGTCATTGAACAAAAAAAAGAGAATTTAGCGAACAAAATTTTCTTTTCGACGAAATCATTTACTTAAGCTGTATATTCGTATTTATAATTATATGGAAAATATATGTCTATAGAAAGATACACATTCTTGGATGTGTTAAGGATAAACTTCCGCTTTGAGCCACATCAATGTATATCTATAAATTTACTTGCTTATTTGAGGTGCATTACATAGGCCGCACAAAGTGATCACTTTCCAAACTCTTCTCAGAACACTATCCAACTTGGCTTTTAAAAAGGAGAATGTAAAACGATTACTTGTTCTGTACAGAGCACTTAATAAACTATGGACACATTGCTCCAAAGGATTTCTCTTTTAAAATAATCTACAAAGTCAAAGGAATTGGATCAAAGCCCGAACTTTGTACACAGAAACAATTCGTCCAACTTCTCATCCTTCGTTGGCCCTAATTCCCTTGATGGATTTGTTTCTAGGT